CCCCAAAACCCCAAAACCCCAAAACCCCAAAACCCCAAAACCCCAAAACCCCAAAACCCCAATTTTTGACCTAAAATTATAATTTTAAAAGGAAAAGATTTTTCTAAATGTCAAGACACTCAAAGAACAATACAGCACTTGGAATTTTTACATATGCTGAGAAGAACATGTTGAAAGGGTACGGTAGTCAAAAGAACCGTTTAGGAAGTAACCTTCTGTCTAACTCTTTAGAGGATTCTTTCAAGAACTTTGAAGCATGTACCCTCTGTCTGACTCGTGTCAAGGACCCTGTCTGCTGGTAAGTTCACTTGTACCTCAAAATCAGCCTCGAAAAGTCTAAAAGTTGTTGAAATACTCTTTAAAGTTCTTTTAGACCTAATTTTCATTATTTAGAGAGAAAGGGCATTTGTTCTGTAAGGAATGAGTCATCACAAATCTTATCCAACAGAAGAAGGATAAAGAGAAAGAGATTGAGATCTGGGAACGCCAAGAACAAGCTAAAAGGCTCTTAGCAGGTGAGTCAGGAGTTTTCAGAAGCTCTTTATTCCTTCCATTCATTAATAGCTCTCTCGTATCATTACATCTCGTTCTTTCCAGAGGTTTACTTCTTTCTAGTCTATTATTTTCTCTGCTTCTCTGATTTTACCTATAAAAGAAAAGGAAGAGCAAGACAAATTCGTGAAGAAGGTCGAGCAATTTGAAAGAAAAGAAACCCTCCCAAGCGGCTCAAAGATAGATTTACAGGAACATGAGTTTGAAGTCAAGGGCATCGTCAAGGGTAAGTTATCAAAATCATGGTTCAGAGGAGGAAAAAGAACGAATCTTAGCCATCAAGAAGTTGCAAGAGAAGCAACTACAGCCAGATGAGAAGAAAGATTGGATAAAAACATCCTTTTGGGTACCTGAAATGACCCCTCAGGCGCATAAGACTGAAGTTAAGAAGCCCACTAGGTAAGCCATATGCTAATCTCTAGGAAGCTCCTGTGTCCTTCTCATGCAGCTGATGATCACTTTTTAAAGCTGAAGAATTTAATCGATCTGAAGATAAAATTAGACTCCGAAGAGAAGGAGTTCATATGTCCATTGTGTAATAAAACTCTGAGTCAACAAAAGATCGGAGCTTTAAAGAAATGTGGCCATACCATGTGTCTAGATTGTATTAAGAAGTACTGCCTTCCAGACAAAGCATGCACAGAATGCTCTGAGAAACTAAAGAAGAAGGATGTTATCTTCTTGAAAGAGAGTGGTACCTCCTTTGCTTCTCACAACAAAGTTGAGGCTGAGAGGTACACTCCTGCTTTCAATGGGTAAGCTTTTCAATTTTGGCTGAACCTTGAGGGGTTTTGGGGTTTTGGGGTTTTGGGGTTTTGGGG